GATGATTCCCAAACAGTACTCTAGTGCTGGTTTTCAATGGTTCTCTAACTGATATCAATCCGTGATCAACTCGTAACCCAGAAAGAAAAAGACGGTCTGTATACCTAACAGCTGAGTAAAACACGTTTTATTCTGATAAAGAATTGTAGATTCCTTAAAATCGGTGAGTACTAAAGACAGCAAAGTAAACAGAGATGTCTGGTGACTACCTGTATTTGTTCTACACAATACGTGTACATAAAGTGCACAACCAAAATGATTTTTAGCTAACGATTAGTATGAGCACATATGTACGATTTACACTGACGCTATTCAACAAAAAGAACCAAATGTGAACAAATACAGACTGGAATGACTTACTGATCATTGATGTCAAACCTCAGCACACTACAAAGTCATCTTCACTTAGCACAGATAAGTTCTGATTAAACTGAAACAAAACTTGAGCTGTAGTAGAGTTGAATAGCGACGACATCTATGACAAGCACATCATTGATGATATTATTTTGGTTGTAATTTACAGAAGGTCCTGGGTTCGAATCCCGGTGGGTGCGTACTGCTGAAGAGTCCCAAACTAGGACGAAACAGCTGTCCAGTACTCCCAGGTTTTCCAATGGTTCTCTAACTGATGTCAGCTCATGATGAAAATCCTGTAACTTTTCAAACCAATCACCATAACGGGAGGAATTTGAATGGAGACATCACTTTCACTTATCTAGGCAGCATCGTTTCAAGTACAAACTTCAGGATTGGAAAGGTATGACAAACCCTCATTACTTTGAAATCAATGTGGAAATCTACTGTACTCAGTCAGTCAGTTCTTCAATATGGTTCACAGACTTGTCGCGTGTATCGCCAAAACCATCAGGCTCTTTTGCAGACTTTTATTAACAGCTGGCTTCGGTGGTTCTATACTGAAGAACAGATGACCGGCCAGAAAGGATTAGGAATGAGGAAGTCTGGCGGTGTAACGAACCAACAGACAGGTAAGGACCTATTGCTGGCCCAACAAACATGTTGAAGAAAATGTACATGGACCGTACATACGTTGAAGACGAGGTTGAGTGATATCGCAGAGCTAGGCTAGCCCTCAAGTGGAACCGCGATGTGAAACGATGAGGAGTTAGGTGTCCGGAGATGACGGCTTATGGGCAGTCGTGGAACTGTCTGTCTGTCTGGATTCAACATAGAACTTGGCACCGAAGTGCAGCAGTTCCAGTTGCCACGTTCCAAATAGCACACAAAGGTAGACAAGAAGATGAGTGAAGAGAATCAATAGAGTTTTGACAAGTATAAGAGTGAAACAGAATGAGTAATGGTAGAAAGGAATATGAAAGATTACAGAGACTGAATACATCTGCGTAAGCCATTGACAACGATTTTGAGCCATGTCACCTATTGTCTCCAGCCATTGATTCTTAGAGTCCCGAGGGCGGGCCCCAACCCGGAAGTCTGCATCTCCCTCCCTACCTGACTCAGTTTAACTGTCAAGGATTTCATGGATTGATGAGGCCATGTTTTTGTTTGGCCACCACTTACTCCTCTTTTCCAACCTGCACCTATATCAGCTAGTAATGCCCGTCCGTCGGGGGAGGCGATGGTTAGGCATGCGCAGCACGTGACCTAGCCATCTCAATCTATGTAACTTTATAGCCTCTTCGATTGATTTTCCCTCTTTGCCCAACACTCTACGCCTAACGTCAACATTACTTACCTTATTATGCCACCTAACGTGAGAAAGAGATCGTAGACATCTATGATCGTATTGGCCAATACGAGTCGTGGAACTAGCTAAAGATGACTGCAGAGAAAAAGATAAAAATGGACATGTGCTGCTGAAGTTCTATGTTCCATTCAGAACCTAAGGGGACAATAATAATACTAACGAATTTATCAAAAAAGAGACATAATTATGATTAGCTGAGGAACTCTAGCTGTGGATCAACCGATATGTTAAAAAACTAGCCATTCACAGACAGAATAGTTTTGTGTAAGTTACCAAACAAAAAGTCAATAAGAAGTTAACAGAATTTCTTAATTTTTACTGAGAATGGAACCAAGTAATTAAACAGGCGAACTAATTATACCTCAACAACAGTCTATTACCTAATTGAAACAGTTTCAATCTTTTTAAAGGTGAACAATGTCAGTCCATAAGAAAATGCGAAACAGATAACTGCAGTTTTTAATGTTTTGCCATAAAACAGTTTTGTACACGGATGTGTAGTCCTTGAAAGTGTGTATACTGTCTTAGAGAGATTTCCAAATGGTTTCACTTTTACATGCATGTTAACACAGTTAATTCCAGTAATGTGCAAATTCCCATTTACGCATTTAGAAAAAAAACAGATTAAGCGAAGAAATATGCATCCCTTTTCAATTAGTTCCTCAACATCGGCTGGTTCTACACTAATATATATATGTAGTTTTTTTACATCAAAATGTTTTACTAATCAAGCGGTTATTTCAGTTAATCAGTTCTAGGTATAGCGGGTGTGTGAAATTAAGAAGTTAGAAGTCATCAAACCAGTTAACTACTGGCTGTTAGTAACAAAATATCTAAGTTTTAAAGGAGGGGTGAAGATTAATTACGGGATCCAAGATAAGTTGATTCTAAGGCGTTTGCAACAAGTTATTACATAATCAAGAAATTTGTAAACTAATGATGGATGTATCTTCCTTATTCACCAATGTGCCTTTGGTGGAAACAGTTGATTACATAGGTAATGAATTGATAAAGCTAGCTAGGTATGGAGTCAGGAATTCCTGTGTCTTCCCTAAAGGAACGTATTCTAAGGTGTACAATGACCGTAAGCTTTCTGGTCAATAAAGAAATGTATAGACAATCAGATGGTGTTGCCATGGGATCGCCACTAGGCCCAATCCTAGCCGATTTTTTCCTGGCGAAACTAGAGAATGGTCCTCTTAAAGATGCAATATATAATATTGATTTCTATTGGCGATATGTCGATGATACATTTATAGTTGTGAAGAAAGAGAGTTCAATAAAGCACATCCTGGCACAAGCTTCACTAAAGAAGAGGAAGAAAATGACTCTGTCTCCTTCTGGACGTCCTAATGACCAAACGAACAGACGGAACAATATGTAGACATTTGCATAGAAAACCTACTTCAACTGGACAACATACTCACTTCCTGAGCTTCGTACCTCTACAATACAAACGTAATTCGGTTAGATGTCTGGTTCACCAGGCTAGAGTTATCTGTTCAGATGAGACACTGAACGAAGAACTCGGTAATATTCGTGATCTACTAAGTATAAACGGATATCCAACTATATTCGTAACAAAAGCGCATGAACTCAGACAGTAAAAAGTCGGAGGTGACGACCGTTCCCAAAAAATCAGTCTTCCTGAGATTACAATTCACGGGTGATGTCAATAATGACATCTTAGCACAACATCTGAGAAGGGCTTTCACTAGCAAACGGATACTTAGTTCAAGAAATAAAGACAGACTACCCAGTTCAAATTCTTCCATGTGTATTTACCAGTTTAACTGCTCGTGTGGAGGATCCAGTAGTTACATTCGGTGTACAATCAGGCAAGTTCATCGTCGAATTTCTGAACACCTCCCATCTTGGTTTGGCAAAGGTCAGAATAAAGCTATATGCAGCTTAACACTACCACCTCATCTCGTCAATACTGGACATCAAGTCGACTCAATTTAACAAAGCTTTTAAAGTTATTTATCGTATACCACCCAACCTCTCGCATGGTCTACGAATTCGACTTCTACACACATATTCAGCAGTGGCAATCGGAATACATCTGAACAAGCCAAATCTGTGTTTGCATTCAAAAGAAGTTCGTAGAGCCCCTCTCTTTGCCATGGCCAACTACTAATATGTATTAAGTTTTTAAAAACGATTTTCCCCTCCCCTTGTAACCATCTTTGACTTTGTTAATTTTTAAAATTTTTACATATATATATTCGCTAAATATATACCGATAAACACTTTCTAAAACTAGGAATGAATAACATATGAGTGTGAGAAGATTGAATAATAATAATAATACCTTGATTTCTATGGTTATACATATTACATAACTGAATGTAAAATGTAAATCAGATTACACATCATTTTGATGACAATTTTACGTAAGTGTTATTAGATACCAGATAACTATAATGGTAATAAAATATTTCATCAACAAACAATGTCAGAAGTTAATTGGTGGATCGTGACTAGCAGTGGAATCCAGTCAGGATGCGCATTTCGTCCCATTTGGGACTCGTCATCTGGATGTACCTGCATTCCACAGTGAGTGATGATGTCCCCACAGAGGCTCAAACCCAGTGCCCATAGTTTCAAACGCCAAAGCGTTATCCACTAGACCACTTGCGCGACAAGAGAGCCACCTCTTTGAATTTTAGATTTTCCCGTCGATTGATTGAACATCTAGCTGACGAGTCCCAAATAGGACGAAATGCGCATCCTGACTGGATTCCACTGCTAGTCACCATCCACCAATTAACTTCTAATTAAATGCCCAGACATCGTCGAAGCATCTGCACAAGAAGCCAACAGACATGTCAACCTGAGACCGAGCACTTGGTAATCAATCACGGAAAATCTAAAATTGAATTAAACAAACAATGTCACCTAAAACATCATTTTGATTTTACTGATACACAAGAAGAACTCAGATGATTATTAAACAGCATAAATAATTGTTTTCAATGTGAACATGCAGTATATACGTATCGTTGAACTGAATGATTTTAGACTTAAGAGAAAATCATTAAAGGGTGCCTTTTACTCGTTTTAATAAGTTTTTGTCACTTTCCTATAGTTGACACTTTCCGAAGATTAATTTATATCATCAAGAGAATCAATGTGTACTACAGTTTTTATTAGTTTTCAATAACTGTATGATCGCTATTCTAATTATTCATATCTAACTGATATAGGCTATATCGGTAATTTAACTAATTTTGAAAAAATAAATAAAAGTTGAATAAGATTCATGACTTACCAAGAAGTGTATTTGAAGGAATAGCGTCAATTGATGTGATAACTCTTTCGAATGTGTTCATATTTACTGAAACTCCAACACCTGGAAGAGGAGGAATTCAAGCATCAACAATAGTACAATATTTAATAAAGGTTTTTTGTATTTCCCAATGAATGAAATACAAAAACGATACTGTCGTTGTTTTTACTGACGTTTCGCTATTTAATGCTGCTAATAGCTTTATCAAAGTATTATTAAACCAGAATCCATGGTTAACATGTATCATCACTATTCACTAATGTACCGCTTATGGAAACAGTAGATTATATTTGTCAAGAAATCGCCGAAAGCAGCAGGAGAATAAACTACATTTCCTGGATGTCTTGCTAAGTAGGAGAGAAGATGGGTCACTTGGGAGAAGCGTGTATAGAAAAAGCACATTCACAGGGCAATACACACACTTCCTTAGTTACGTGCCCATTAAATATAAAAGGAATGTTGTAAAATGTCTTGCGAGCAGAGCAAGAAAGATATGTACGGATGACCACTTACAAAAGGAATTTGAATATATTCACGATTCCTTGATGGAGATGGGCTATCCGAGTAGTTTCATAAAGAAACATATGAAAACATTGGAGAAAAAACCGGAGACTATGACTGCACGTAAAAAGCCTCTATTTATTAAGTTACAATTTAGTGGTGACTTATCAAGTGAGATTCTATTCCAAAGACTTTCAAGGAGTATACGAAGAACATTTTATGCAGCACACCTATGTTTGTCATTCTCTAGCCGACGAATGATTGGGACGCAAACGAAGGATAAGCTTGATAGTTTTGCCACATCTATGTGCATTTATCAATTCAACTGCACCTGCGGTGACAGTTATATTGGGCGTACTACTAGACAGCTTAGCCAACGTGTTAGTGAACATCTCCCATCGTGGTTTGGCAAAGGACTGACAAAAACAATTCGTAGCTCAATTTTGTCACACTTAATTGATAGTGGTCATGTAATCGAGAAAACGAGAGCCTTCAAAGTAATTCATCGTATCCCACCGAATCTTTCCAATAGACTTCGTATTCGTTTATTGCACACAGCTGAGGCGATAGGCATTCGAACTATTAAACCTAAACTATGTATTCAAAAAAGTTCGTACAGCCATTATCCCTCCCTTGGCTTATTAAGACATAACCAACTAATGACTTCTACACCACCCTTTGTTTATATTTTCAACCCCTTTCTTATTATCCCTTAATCTTATCTTCATTATAAACGTGTTTCATTTCCTTCCCTTACAATCTAACATTACTTAATCGGTTCATTTGTTTTTACTAGCCTTTATCGACTACTTCCACCTGAACAGTTGTTTGTTTAATCATGCTGTTTTTCATTATTCGTGTTATCACAGATTGCCTCACTTTTTCATCCTTATTATTGATAAGACCATTTTTATATTATTATTATTATCATTACTACTATTATGACTAATTGCACAATTTATATTCACCATCGTATTATCCTATAGACAAAACACCATGATTGGTTTATATTTGAATTTTTATTTGTAAACTTTTATATATATTAGAGTTAAGCCTGATGAGATCTAATTGAAAACAATATTGTTCGCTTAAATGTGTTGTTCTAAATTTTACTATGGGAATATTTAATATATTTCAATATTGTCAAAATCAATTTTATGGTCTGATTCTATAGTGTAGCGTGTAGACCCATGGCTGGCCGATGATTTTCCAAGCTTTTCTAGTTCAACTGGATTTCTCGGTGGTCGAACAGATGCCTTACGGTGTTCATTTCTTCTGACTTTGATTTCTCGCTGGCAATGTTTGTCCGATGTATATCGCATTACATTCCAAGCATTTTATTTTATAGACACAATTAGATTGAGAATGCTTAGTGATTTGGTCTTTTATATGGACAAGGGTTGCTTTGCAGTGTGTCTAATATTTTGAAGGAAACTTTGATATCGTTTGATGTCTCTGCTCTATATGGAATGACAACTGTTGAGGTCCATGTTTTCGGAATACGTTTTCGACCATATTCAATGTCAGTGTTGATTTTGTTGATGAAGTTCTTTGGGTAGTTATTTTGCATGAGAGTCTCAGTTATTTTTGATATTTCTTCTTTTTTTCTTTCTCATCCGTTATCAACGCAAAAATGACCCTGTGCTGAGGAACGATGATTAAGTTGTTATATATATAAGCTGAGATTTTGTAAATTCTGCTTTAATAATACTTTCATAAAGCTATTAACAGCATTAAATAGCGAAACGTCGGTAAAAACAACAGTGTCGTTTTGTTGTTCGTTCTTTGGGAAATACAAAAAACCTTTATTATAATGAATATCATATATCCAATGCCCAAATTTTGTCAAACTGTTAAAACTACAATATTTAGTTTATATAATATACACTCATTTAAATTATTACAAACGCATAGTTTACATGACTATTGTTAGATAGTTGGAAGAGATAAGTAATAAGCCTTCGATGTATGTTTCGAACTTGTTGACACTCATCAGAAAGGTGTATGTGCAATCTTTAGGGAATTCATATGCCTTCTGAGAGTCAAACTCAGCTCACACATTGCTGCCATCATAGACGTTACCACTGCTCTATTCAGGCTTGCCACTGCTCCCCCTCCCTCTTTTTAGGACTGACTGAAGTGAATACTTTAGTTGGACACTGGGTAGTAACTCATGTCACGCGTCTAGTCATTGATGTTGCTGTAGACTGAATTCTATCAGTCAAGTTTACAATATAGTCACCATGCCACTAGTTGGTTCGCCATCACAGTGAACCTAGTGTCCAATCAAAGTGTTTCTTACAATCCTACACAAGGAGTTTCATATTTGCCTACATGGCGGCTTACACAAAATCTAAGAGGTCACAAAGTTATACGTCACGCACTCTTTAAATAGTAGGCAGAAATCACACCAGTACTGTACTACAAGTAGTAGTGACATTCACTCAGGAGTTAATCAACTGTGTCGAAATTTATTCTAATTTAGTTGCTTACACCATTTCCATATAAGTGATAAGGTGTACAATCTCAGCCATTTTACATCCGGCTGTTACATATAATTTCAATACTAACCGATATTATAAAACTATTATTTGATGAGATACATAATTTGAAGATTTTAATAGTTAATCAACTAAAGAATTTTGCATTGACAAGCCGCTTGCAACATCATTTCAAAAAAAAAAACGATCTCAATATCCAAACGGATCAAAGATCTCAATTCGTTTACGTCTTTAGGTAAAGACACAGCCTTAACAATGCAAAATATCAAAATATATATTACTGAATCATTAATTCATTTAAATTTCCTAGCGTTTCTATTTCCACTTAATTTAAACATAAATATTCAATTATCAATGTAATCAATAATTACTACTACTAACCTTTTTCAAAATAAAAATGTGGACCGCCAATAAATAATTGTTTAGGTTTACTAGGATGTTGACTAACTGATGCACCAAATGTACAATATCTTAAATCAATTGATTTATCAGAACCTTCAACATTTAAACAAATTGCACTTGGCGCAGGATTCAATTGAGGATTTTCTAAACGTTCATCAAATTCAAAACATCCACCAGGTACATACAAAGATGATGCTGATGACCATGAAAGACGTGGTGCACAAACCTAGTACAAAAAAAAAATTAAGAAGGAATAATTCAATCATAAATTGATTAGAAATACGATATGATAGTGAAAAAATATTGTAGTTTGATATTGTTAACAAAAACAATTGAAACGATTGAAACACATGTGTAGACCAAACTTTTTATATAGGATAATACATATAACAGAACACTAGATAATAAACTTTCTTCTTGCATTTACAATATTCTTTTCTCCTTAGACAACTGTTTGCAACAAAAAGAAAGTGTATCCTTATACGTGTACTTGATAAATCAGTTAGGCCTATAAATATTAAGTTAAGGTCTTAGTTAGAACGAAGATTAGTCATTAGACAATTAAAAAAAAATGAGAATATAAACTCCCGATACTGATACAAAAATCAATTTAATTTCATTTGTTAAATTTCGTCACAAAACAGCATCCGTTAGAGAGATCACTGAAAACTAGGAAGTGATGGACAGTGGTTTCCTACAAGTTTGACGTTCTTCAGCAGCAAACACACACGACCCCACCAGAGGTAGCAAATGCCTTTGATGGGCACCGAAATAACCTTGACATGGTGTACCCTACTGGTGACAGCTTTAGAACATCCATCCAGTAGCCACTAGTACGCTGGAGATTGATATTTAAGTTATGGCAGTTATGAGGATCCGGGCTAACTGAATTTCAATTTTTAGATTACCTCACGAACCAACGTCAGTTAGAGGTCCACCAAGGTTCAAACCCAGAAGGGAGGGACATGAGTGCACACTGTTGAAGAGTCCCAAAACAGGATGACACAGCTGTCTAGTTTTCTCTAGTCCTCAGTTATCTTTCTAACTGATGCTGGTTCGCGACGAAATCTAACAGTTGGAATTGAATTACACCAAATCCCCATAAAATGCATAATCTAAACAAAAATCAATGTTGAATGTTTCAACGCATTCACTGATATGTAATACATTAATACCTTCTACTTTCTTTGATAACCAGAGGAGATGCAAATCTAAAATCTTTGAATAAATACGTGTTTGCACTCAAAATAGTTTTGTAATCGAAACTTTGTGCAGAGCAGAAACATTATTACCAGTAAGATATTTGGAAATGCTGCAGAACTCTTATTCGGGATAACTTAATAACATTAGTAAAGTATAATGTGAGAGGAAATAAATCAGGATGTAAAAACATTATGATCAAAAGTCACAAAACGTCATAAAACAAGTAAAAATAAAGGTGAAGTCAGCAGAAAAGAGCTGGGTAGCTCATTCGCCCTAGTTTGGGACTCTCCAGCAGTACGTACCCATGATCCTACCGGAGATCGCACGAAGTAACTTCAAGTCACTAGGTGAGCTCGTTGATTATTCAAGCAGTCGAATAGAATCCACTGGTCAATTCATGAATTTTAATTCCTTTCAATCCACGATATATCACTCCACCGCCATTCAGTGTCATCGACCAGTAGGTATTTCTCCTCATACCCAACCTGGTGGATTCCACACTGGTTACAACTTCTCACTAGAACTCGGGGAAACTTCTAACTGATAACAATTCGTGATCAGAGTGTGAAAAAAAATCAAATCCTTACAAACTAACTCTTAAAAATTAACCTGACTGACTACAGAAAGAAGTTGCCTGGGTTTCTACTAAAAATTCGTGACCAATGGCGTCGGTCAACCAGGTCAGATGCCGGGACAAATACTTCCTGATGACGTCACCTGACAGTGTTGGCGCTCAAATCACGAATTGACAGAAGTTAAAACCCATGGGCTATTGGATCGCGTCAGTGTATGTGTTTGGCCCTATAACTTGGAGGTCTAGGGTTCACAATCCTAGGTGAGGTAGTAGGTGCCTACTCCTGAAGAGCCCCAAACTTGCAGGAAACAGTCGTCCAGTACTTACTGTTGGTTTTCAACGGTTCTCCGACGGATATCAATCCATGATTAAACTTAGAGCGATTGAGGAAAGCGGATTACATTATAATGGTTCATTTATTAACAAAATGAACACGCATCTTTATTACCGTAATACTACTACTACTACTAAATGTGAGTAGTATATAACTGGCTGTAATGCGTGAAAACTCTCCCTATGAAAGATAATACTTATTTATGTCACAGGTAATGAATGATAGAAGGGGAAATGAATTTCCGGGTCTCAGTAGAATTCGAACCGGCGGCGGAGTCTGTCCGAATTATTAGTCTGGCGCTATAACCAACTGAGGCACAAGACGAAACCCAACTATAAAATCAGGTGTGATCATCTCACAGTACAACTGCAATGATACGTCAGTGTTCAGTCAGCATTACACACCTAATTACGGAGTCAGACTTTCTCCTTAATCATACTGATTTCAATCGATATCTCTTGGTCCAAGTGCGAATTGCCATTATACCTAAAAACAAATCAAAGGGATTTAAATTGCTGAAATTATTTTAGCCCAACTAAATGTGTTCGGATGGTTGATAGTAAAACTTAAATCATTACTAATTGTATTCATTATAACAAGTAATATTCAAATATCACGGAAAGAAAAGAGAAAATATGGAAAAGCTATTACTAATAATGATAAATAGTTACAATATCCATCTTTCTAACTAATGTATTTCATAGCATTTCGGTGTTGTATTTGGATTACGTCATAAATCTGACGTAGGTTTCACATGAAGTGTATATTTTTGTAATAGCAGTTGAATACCTGAATTTATGATGTAATAAAAAAAGATGATAAGTTCTTAATGATGATAAACTTGTAACTATGATATTATCAGTAGAACTATGCCAATAAAGGGAAACTTCAGGTATTTCTTGGCAGAGATTTGACTGGTTACAATGTTTAGCCATCAGCTGACTTCAGTTAGAGAACCACTGGAAAACAACGGAGAACTGGATATCTCACTCGTCCTAGTTTGGAATTCTTCAGCATTATGCACCCACCACAGGAGTTCAAACCCAGCACCTTCTGGTTTCAAATCGAGTTCATAAGCCCCTCAGTCACTGGGATTTGATCGACAAGGCCGATGAATTCCAACTTCTACCAGTTCACGATATAGTGCGGCCAATAGCCAATGTTATCGGTGGTCGAAATATATCATGAATTGGCAGAAGTTGGAGAATTCGGAGGCCAATGGACCGGGTTTCAGTGACCTAATGGTCGTCTACACGCTTGCCTTGTAACCGGAAGGTCCTATGTTCGCAACCCTAATGGGCGCGCACTGATTAAGAGTCACAAACTACGACGAAACATTTATCCAGTAATTCCTGCTGGTTTTCCAGCAGTTCTCTAACCGACGTCAGCTCTTGATGAGACCGTGTAACCAATCAAATTCCTACGAACCAACACTTGAATACTAATCTATTAGTTTCCTATTTTGGAAATACGCATTCAGACTAATTGAGAATAGGTAATCACAAACGGAGAATAATAATAATCACAAAGGATCTTCAGAAGTGTATGTGACCTTAACTAGTGATAGTATGTATAGCAGCCATTACCACCTAGCAGAAGTCCAGAATATTCTCCTGTTTCTAAAGTAGCTGGATATGTGACTCCTGGTTTTTCCCCAAAATCTTAAGAAATTTACCAAATGAATCGGTTTTAAGATCAATGGTTACGGGGAAAAATGATTACTTTTACACAGCTTTCAGGACAACTTAGTTTCGTTCTACGTCAATTTACGAATAAGCTGAAAATCAACACTAGATCAGCACCAGGTGAATATGTGGCGTGTGCTACTGATAAGATTTATCAGTAGTACATAAATAGACATCCATCGACATAACATTAACATCAAATACGAGAGAGATAGATTTTATGTTAGGTAAGCAAATGATACAGAGTTGCGGAGATACATGGGTGACGTGATAAGGAACATAAAGGAACACAATATGGAGAAAGGACAGAAGTAACACAACACGGAAGATCTGTACATTAAAAGATGATTTTGAGATAGGGTGTACATACTTTCGCTACATAGAGATACCATTTTCCAAATAGAGACAAGTGAATCCCAAGTGTTTTTCCAGAAATCGAACGATTTCAGACTAGATTTTTATACAGAACTGCAGTTTCTCACGGCTAAAAGTGACAGGTTCACACAACACTGTCTAGCTTTTGGAAGTTTTCTGTTTTACCTTCAACCTGTGATAAAAACCTCCCGGTAGTTGATTCAAATATAAAAGAGTCAATTTTAAAGCATTTCAATTTTGATCATGAACTGACTTCACTTAGAGAATCATTGGAAAACCAACAGTGGATGCTGAACAACTGTTTCGTCCCTATTTAGGACTCTTCAGACATTGGCACCCACAACCATCAGGTTACAAGGCATTTGTTTAAGAGATTAGGTAGCTGTCGTTATAAATTGTTAAAATTTAATATCTGACTAGTAGAATGATATCCTTTTATGAATGAATTTTAACAATTATTAAGTGAGTATAATTCATTCCTATTGGAAAACTATTTAGACATTTGAATCTCACTATTCAAAAACAAAAAGATTATTGATTGTACATTTAGATTACGATATAATGTGTAATACTCAAAATATATTCATTCATTTGAGTCCTTATCTGAGAATACATACACCCCATCGTTAGTATTATTATTACTATTATTATCATAATTTGTCTGATATAACTGTGCATAAGTACTTAGAATAATTATTTCTCAAATGTTGCTGGAATCCTAAAACTAGGATGAAATAGTTATCTAATGATTATCTCTAAGTTTTTAATGCTTCTCAGTTCGTGAAGAAATCTGACTTAAAGTTATATATGTTCTAGTAAGCAGATACACTGAAAAGTCTCAGTAGGTCATCTATATGCAACTGGATGTGAATTTTAATTTATCAATTTTTTTCAAAAGAATGGTTACTGAACAAAGAGTGTTCTGTTCGATCACTTCATCATCAGGTTCTACAGTTATATATACATTACAGTGAATGAAGCTAATATTTCAAGAGTCCTTCTCCATCATCTATCGGATACCAAACAGTGGTCCTCTTCAAACGGTCTTAAGCTGA